TAAGCATTTACGCTCTATAACTCAACCAAACTCAAATTTTCTTGATCAATTGGCTCAATATGAGAAACACATCTGGTTTTCAAAGTACGGCGAAGAATCATCTTCATTAGAAGATACTAAAAAGTGGTTCGAGAACAACAGCAGTAACCACCAGATATAAGATGTTTTAATTCACCCTCACTTTCCAACAAAAAATTTTCTATTTCTGTTATTAAGTTTGACTGAAACCCTTTTTTGTATTCATGAGATGATGCTAGACCAAGTAGAGGACGGACACATGAATTTAGACACAAAAAATTCATCTAATCCCTATTCCCACACGGAAATATTTTTCATCTGTGAAAATCGTAGTCTTTCTAGAAAATATTTTTAGCGTCTCGTATGTATATTCAGAAAATTCATCTCAATCAGACATTTGGACTGAAGAGCCCATATCAATTCCCAAAGAGTTGAATATATTTCTCATTATCATAAAAAAATTAATATATTTTCTCGTTCATGCTGAATCGAGGTTTTTTTTATTGAAATAAAAGAGAGCTGAACATCTCGTCATCATATTCGATGATTATGACCCTTTAGAGTACTTCCTCTTGGATATATTCGATGAAATTTAGGTCGAATATTGACCTGGAGTTACAGTCACGGAACTTTTTCATACACTTTCCAGAAAACTACTGTTTTCATTACGAACAAGTTCTTTTCTTTGTATTCGTTTCAATAGTTTTATAATAATTTCATTTATTTCTTATCTTTTCTTTCTGTTTCTCCAGTGACTATATATATAGAGAGAGACTAAGTGTGTTGAACAGTTCATTCTGTTGTGCAAATTTTATAACTTGCTATATTTTTTCTGACTTAAAACTTTAATGAAAAGCTTAAGTATATTGACAAATACTGAGTCATTTAGCGGACATCACGCAAAATTCATTGGTTAATAAAGTCCTGTCAATCAATCTCTTTAGGAAAATCTCACTGGTTTGTTTCCGATTTCACGTTATTCTTGTGGAAATTGATTGTTTATACTAGAACTTTTTATGTTTCTTAATTTTCTTGAAAACCTAAAACATTTTGGAAAACCCATCAAATGGTTCTAAAAAAAGTCGCATTCACCAGGCTTGCAGGACACGACGAAGAACGTTACGGTATTCCTTTGCGGAAAAATAAAGTTGGCGAAACGTGTGGCTATTCATTACAATAACGATACATGTATCAGAAAAACTAGTTGGCTCGGATCGGAAACCTTGGTTTTTTTCACGGAAGCTGCAGACCCAAAAGAAAAGATTTTCTCACAGAAATAAAGATTTAGAACTAGCAAAAAGAAAAACTACTTTTGTGGCGTGTATTGATGGTCCGATATCTTCACAAATCCAGACGATCTTTTTCTGAAAAATAGCTGAGTATAATGTGTGCTCGAAGTTAGAGTGCAAAAGTTAAAAAGGGTAAGTAAGCACTCTCGACTTAAGGGAGCCTCTCAGGAAAAAACTTTTTTATCTTACATTCGATTTCGATGGTGCTTTCAGTAACTAATGCTTACTGTCCTTCGAGCTTATACAATAATGACACCAGTATTAGAAAAACCAGCTGGCTCGAATCAGAAATCTTGGTTTTTTCACGGAAATTAGAGATCCAAAAGCAAAGATTCTCTCACAGAAATAAAGATTTAGAAAGTTGCAGCAAAAGTACCCATAACAAACCTCAACTTCACGTCCTTTTCTCCAAGAAATAATGTGGCCTTAGGAGTTTCATAAAATTGAGTTGGCTCTCAAAGTTAAAATCTGATGGATTTAATAAAGGCGCACAATAGAACTCATTTCTAATGGCAGCGTGTATTAATGGGTATAATACCATCAAAACTTTAGTTTTAACATTTAATTCGAATTCACGTCGGTGTTCATGTTGCAGATCAAATTGTGCGTTTCCTTCTAGCTGAACTTGTGTTTTAAGTTTTGGTTCTAAGTCATTCCAGAGTATTTCACATATGTCCTCATTTTCTGCTTCACCTAAATCAGTTAAATCCTGTAAACGAAATAGTTTCGTACAATACACTGAAAGCATTTGTTCCGATTTAAAACCGTTCGTAAATGATTGATTTGCGCCACTGCATAATATAAGATAAATTTTTCAAATTCGTCATTTACTCTAAGAATGATTGAATGTTCTCAAAGTCCGTTGTATGACTTTGAATGTGTAAATTGCAGAAAAAGGAAAATAAATGTTTTTCGTTTCTTTTTTTAAAAGAAATAACTAAAAATACGTAACTGAACTCGCTATGAGCCCAACCTAACATCTGTTAATACCGATTTCCGGATGATACCCGAAGTCCACTTGTCACTTTATTCTATTGTTTCGGAAAGCGTATTTAGCCCGTAGAGTGTTGCATTAGTGTAGTGGAGACTTTGTAGAACTTTGTTCGGAGTCTGCTATTCTATGTCTTAGACAGCACATGTTTCAAATACTTGATAAATCAAGTTTCCTATACTTATATTTCAGTATTTAGAAATGACATACATAATTTTTCTATGATACTGTTTTCGACAGAAACAAAAAGATAATGCCACCACCATCACCACTGGCATCAAAATCACAGGGATCTCGATTATGATATTGATGGCAAACACATTATCTATTATATTGTTTTAATTACCAGTGGTGATGATGGGAGCATTATCTTTTTGTTTCTGTCGAAAACAGTATCATAGAAAAATTATGTATGTCGTTTCTAAATACTGAAATATAAGTATAGGAAACTTGGTTTATCAACTTAAGTACTTGAGTGTAAGAGTTAGAACAGCAGACTCGATTTTGACTGACGTGGAAACCGTCCCAACTGGAATGATTCGCAGTAAAAAATTCTCTTTTTTTGATGTGCATATCCCAGATATTTTTGTAATATCCATTTTTGTTTGCTATTCGATCAAGGTGCAAGAACCCAGATGAGGTTACACATGGGATTTTTCGGAAACTTTTGCGAAAAGCCATATGGTTTGGTAAATTCTTTTTTGTGGTTTTCTTATAAATAAATATAAAATAGTCTGAGTACTGTGCATCCTAATGTTTCCAACTCGTTTTCCAGAATCCATTCTTTTTTTGGACAGACAGTAATACAATTATTTATGACTTATTTCCTGCGGCCTATTATTAATATCGTACCTATTCGTAAACAGCTCTCTTAACATGCTTTGACCTGTGCCAATGCCAATAGAATTTGTCGTCGTAATAATTGTTTTACTGGCAAAAATTGGCTCCCTTTTTCTGCCCACTAGTACTTTGTTTATTTGTTTTCGGCAACGAAAGCTTTATCTAAAACCAGAACCATATCAGGTTTTGTTGAGCTTTTTATGCTCGTTCGAGTGATGTGTAATTTAAGAAAATTAAATGTATGATAATGTCGCTAGAATTAAAAGAATAAGACATACAGAATTGTTCAATTTTTGAAAAAAACTTGTTGGTACCGTTTTTAAAAATATTCTTTCTCAAAGATGAAAGGTTTTTTAAAGGCTAAAAGCTTGAATTAATACGTAACTTTGTTTGGAGAATCGGCAAATTGTATTTAACTTTTTTTTATTTTTCGAAGGTTTTATCGTCCTTTCACAGCATTCTCGATTTCCTCACGGAGTCTCTCTTAATTATTTATCTCACTTTACGATAAGCTCTCAAACGACATTTTTATTCTATTTATGCGAAAAACAGCACATAACAAACAACAACAATGAACTACAAGAGGAAACATGACTTGTTCTTGTCGATGATCACTTTATAAGTACTTCCGTTGTTTGATTTGCATACTTGGCTGTTGTTGTTGTGATCACCGAAATGGTTTGCGTCACTTGCCGACGCTTACTGTATATCGAGAGTAATTTTCTGAAAAACTTATTTCTTAATGATTTTGATGAGCTAAGATAAATGTAAAAACTACTGGCAAAATTTAAATAGAAAAGAAAATTAGAGACTGTCGTACAGAGGTTTTCTTGGGCCGTTCTGAATGAATCCTTTTGTATTTGACTTGTTATTACGTTATACAGGCTGTCTATTGCATAGGGTGTTGTTGATATGCTAATAGAACCAATTTGTAACAGTAACATTCTTGTTAGTTGATATTCCTGGCGTTGATTTGTGGGTAAACGTTGCTGTTGAGGTCCGATGCGTCGTCGATGGATTTTGTGCATATTTTTCCATGTCAACAATCCAAATGCAACAAAAATTGCTAATGGTAATAAGTTGTAGAGAATTAAAATGACAAAATAATTCAGATAATATCCATAAATTATCGATTTATTGACACAAACTGTTTGATTCGCTGCAGCTGGATAAATATTAACCATTATCACGATTGGTAAACCGTGTAAAGACCAGAAAACAACTGTTGCGACACACAGCAATCGTGCCGTTGACATTCTACTTATCTGTCGAAAGCGAGCTTGACGACAGCTGATTAAGTATCGATCGATGGTCGCCCAGCTGACACAAGTCAAAGATGTCAATATGGAAACGTGGCCCAAATATTGTCGTGCTTTGCAGAGAAATAGGTTTGTCTTTGTTACATCATATTGTAAACCGATTAAAATACGTAACAAAAGTGGAATGACAATTGCAATTAAACTTGAAATTGATGCAGTAAGTAAATGCAATTGACATGGACTAGGTGGGAATAATTTTTTCGATAAAAACATCAGAATATTTAAACAATTTCCAATAAGACCACAAATAAAGACTGGAATGCCAAAATAAATTGTAAACTGTTGAGATATAAATGTCAGATATGCAGCGGACGACATTCTTTTTTCCTTTGTACTGAATTCTAAAGGAAATTTCTCATATTTATATTTCAGTATTTAGAAATGACATACATAATTTTTCTATGATACTGTTTTCGACAGAAACAAAAAGAGAATGCCATCACGATCACCACTGGTAATTAAAACAATATAATAGATGTGTTTGCCGTCATGTCAGACACATCTATTATATTGTTTTAATTACCAGTGGTGATGGTGGTGGCATTATCTTTTTGTTTCTGTCGAAAACAGTATCATAGAAAAATTATGCATGTCATTTCTAAATACCGAAATGTAAGTATTGGAAACTTGGTTTATCACCTTAAGTATTTGAAACATGTCCTGTGTAAGACATAGAATAACAGACCAAAGTTCTATAAATACATCACTACCCTACCCTACAAAACAAAATCACAAGAAAAATGACTGACATCGGCGGCGCGCATGCCATGTGTCACTAACATCGCCAAAGATCGATGCGAACCAGTACCCGGACGGTGCCAAATTGGCATCGATACGAATCGATGGCATGTAATGCCGATTTACTTCAGAAATGATGCCGCATTGCTAAAATTTTATTTTCAGTGCCTCCTATAAAAAAGCTAGTTAAACGTTGCTTCTGCGAAGTAGAAATATGAAAGCGTCTATAGAATTGTTGGACTGTAATATAGAAGATGTGTAAATAGAACGAAGTTAAATAAGAGTAGTAGCGCGAGAGAGAAACTTCTAATTAATAGCTTTTTCTTTCTGTGTATATGACGAGATATGGTAATAATTCTTAAAACTTGTGTCTGACAACATCAGATCAATAATGCATTGTCTGTTACTAGTCCATTCAGTAGCTGTAAACATCAAATTTATATTGAAATTTGATCAATCACAGTTTCACCCCGAACGTTTACAGCTACTGGCAAAACCCTTCCTTAAACCACAAAAATCCTCGCATATAAACTTTATACTTCAAGTTTTCTTTTAACCCAGAAAACGGACAAGTCCCAGAAAGTTTTCATACAAGTATGAGAAGAAATAGAAAGGAAGAGGAAAGTAATACTGAAAAAAGTAAGAGAAAAATACTTGAAAATTTTCTCAGGATAGATAAACAATGTGGGGAAAAAAACAAAAAATGTTCGAAAGCAGCATTTTTGCAAAAACACTGGACCGACCATATTTCTACAGACTTATCTACCAGCATTCTTGCCAGTGGCGGAGCGACCGCTGGCGTGAGGGGCGGGTACATCCCTCCTGCTTTCAGGGGTTTCCTTGCAAATTTGCTCCGATTTGAGCCAAAAGTACGGGAACCTTACTCCAATTTTATGAAAGAATCGACTGAGTTTACTCCGATTTCGCCAAAGTTTTGTTTGAAATTTTTACAGTTTTTGAGCAGATATTTACTGTTTTCTGCAATTTCCGGCCATCTTTGCTACAAAAATGTGACAAAATCAGGAAAAGCTAGAACAAAGTGGAATACCTCCTTCTCAAGATGGACAGGTCCAAGTCCCTACTGACGCATTAGTTGGCAGCCTTGAACTTGAGTGTTTTTTATCGAGTCCAGTTGTAGTCCAGTTAGGATCTGTCATAATCAAGAATAAAGTTAGTGTAATCTTAAACGTAACTGACTCGCTTTTTTTCGTCAAATATATATCTAATATGGAATAATGAGTGACTAAACTTTTTTATGTAGTCGTATATGATTATGAGATTTGTTCACTTGATTTATTGAGAAGAAGCGAAAAAAATTAGTGTAATGGTTCTGTTTTCTGCTATAAACTTGACTGGACTAAATAGACAGAACAGGCTAATGAATAACAATGGATAGATATAACAGAATACACATTTAAATTATACGGTTATCAGACAGTAATACTGTTTTAT